GATTGGCCAGTGTTTTTCGTTAATAATTCAAAAACGAAGCTTCAAACAACATTCTGGTCAAGGGAAAAGTTGTTCAGAGTCGCCCCAGCAACCCCCCATTTCCGGGTGTTACACTTTTTACGGGACACCCTGTATAGAGAGAGAAGAGACTTAAAATTCTGTTCTTTCCATCATCTTTTTTCTTTCTTCGAGATTGAAAAAAAACGTCTAAATTCACTCGCGACGGTTCTTATCTTTCTCTTCTTTCTACTCGTCAAGTACCCACTCGAATCCATTGTACATCAGCGATAAGATACAATTAACCAACCACCTGGTCGTTAATTGTATCGTTCGTGTTTAAAATCGTCGGGTCTTACTCTCTGTTAGACTCGGAGCGAAAAAAAAAAAGAAAAAAGAGAATGTTCCTTAAACTCTTTCTCGGTTCCTTTGTTGTTGTTACACCTGTAGGCTCCCGCTTTGCAAATAATTACAAACGCGACACGCGCCTCGCGTGTCGCGATTCATCGAGCCAATTTATTATTTTCTTCCATATTTCACCAAGTTCAGATCGGCCGAATTTTATTCCGTTTTCCGTATTGTTTCGATATATATCTATCGCCAAATTTACAACCCTTTATTTTTCCGTTGTTATCTCGTCGATCTTTCCCACCAACCCGTCAGTCTCGCGTTTTCCGCCACGAATCCCTCTATTCTTCCCCTCTGTTCTATCGATCGCGAGACATCCAGAGTCTGTTCGCAACGATTTTCTCGAATAGAATGCGAAAGTCGAAGTTTCTCGTACGTTTAGCTAGACGATGAGACTCAGGAGTTGATCGTTTCAGAATTCGATCGGAGGGATGATTTTTCGTGTGCCTTTTTTTCAAGGGCTAGGGCGCGTGCAACGATATTCCAAATTATGTATGTACGTACCTTTTTTCTTTACTTGCGTTGAATGAGTTTTTGAAGAGATCAGATTTTTTCGTTTAGATTAGAGATTTTTTTTGTGTTTTTTTTTTTTGCTTTTCTTTTAGTTGAGAAGAGTGGGGGGGGAGAAGAAATGATGCTTCACACCCAAGGTAGGCAAGCGTAGGGAGTACACTTATTGTAATTATGCACAAATGGGAGCGAGTGTCTGCCTCTGTGTCAGTGATGCGTAGGATACGAATCGAAATGCGTGGTTTTCTGGCTCTGGCCACTTTGGCCTGTGTTGCTACCTGAATGCTGTTGTGTTTGTTGCTGCTGCTGAGCCTGTTGCTGCTGCTGCTGAGCCTGTTGCTGCTGTTGAGCCTGTTGCTGATACTGTGCACGTTGCTGTGTTTGCTGGTGCGTTGGTTGATAATGTTGCTTTTGCTGTGGCTGTTGACGTTGTGATCGTGGCGGTTGTGGAGGTGCTTGTTGTTGTTGTTGCTGTTGTGGTTGTTGCTGGGGTTGGTTGGGTGGTTGCTTCCGTTGCTCCAACCCAGCGGCCAAGTAAGAGAACACACAGAGTACCGAGTAGCAGATCTGATCTGCCTGCAAATTTTACGAGCGATATTTGTATTTGTAGATCACTTTCTAGGTTATGTTTTGGTCTTGTTTTTTTTTTGTTTTTGCTTGTTAGATTTGCGATTATGTTTCGGGGTTATGAACGGGACGATTGTTGAATTCGGATATGGAATTTTTTAATTGTAACGCGGGTGTACTTGTTTGAGGGAAATTATTTTTTTGAAAGGCTTTGAAAGGTTTTTGAGAAATGTGACGAAAGTTAAGTTTGGAATTCTTTTAAATTTGTTGTATCGGTTAATCTTTCAGTTGTAAAGCGTGTGTTCGAAGGAGATAATCTTTGGGAGAGATTGATCTTGAAATGCTCTGAAACGTGTGAAGGAAGTTAGGTTTGAAGCTTTTTCTAACTTTGGAGGTGTGGAAGGATGTTCTGGGAAGTGAAGACAATTTTAATTTGAGGATTTTTCTATGTTCCTTCGTGTGAAGTTGATATCTTACGGAGTTTTAGTGATTTTCGGAGGAAAACTTGTGTCTGTGAATTTGATTACGTGTTTTTTTATGAGGTATCAGTGGTGAATAGAGAAAACGAATGTTGACGAAAGTTTCTAAAGCGGAAAAGAAATAAAGTTCGATTAAGAGGAGCTAGAACACTTACGTTCATAAGAGAGAAAACAGAAAAATCATAACTAAACCTTCATGCATTGTCGTTTTCGGGGATGCCTTGAATCTCGGGGGAGAGTTCTGATAACGTAAAGGCAACGGAGAATACCCTGTGCATGCAGTGGCAGAGTTCATTAGCCTGTTACACAGTACACAAAATCAAAATGTATCACAAAAATCTTCCAGTCGTTGTAACTTTAATAGACAAAGCAGAAAAGAAAAGAGAGAAAATTCTAAATCTACAGGAATCACACGTAACAAGCGATTGAAGAAAAAAAATAAGAAAAAAAAAAGAACTTGTTCAATGGAATAAGAAACAAGTAACAAAAACTTCAGTATCAATTATTCAATAAAATTTCATTTTGGTACACTTACCATTTGAGACTTATATTTACGTTGAATTACTTGTCTAGTTTTAGGATCTGAAATGTAGAAAAGTCGGTGTTAAAAAATGAATCACAGTAATTGCACAAAAATGGGCTATTTTAGGAAACAGATTATTCAAAATATTTTCTTCGTGTTCTTTTTAAAGGTACTCTTTTCAAATATAATTTGTTCTATTTGGGGGAGAGAAAATGTGTCTTTTTTTCAGGGATATTTACGAAAGACTACTCACTGAATTCTTCCAATACAAAGATCCCATTCTTCTGAGTAAAGCACTTGCGGATATGATCGAGTCTTACAAAAAACTGAAAATAACACGATCGTTTTGCATTAGTTGGGTTCTGAAACGGAGCGATTTCGCGATCTACTCGTACATGCACACTTGTGATCAGTTCCTCTATGGCCTTTTATGCCCCGGACAATGTGAAACCGTGTGTGCCAACAACATTTCGGATAAAGGCGTGAACGTTCGATCGAGTAAAAAAAAAAATACAGATCAATGCTCAATTCGATGGTGGGATCAAGCTCTGAATCGTCCATGTTTCACGTTACTATCGTATCGGCTAATACGCATCACAGTGCACCTTTTTTTTTTTTCTTTTTTTTCCAAAGCGAGATTTCTAGCCAAAGAAATGTCTCCTCGAGTCGCATTTGATTCTTCCGTTTGAAACTAAGAAATTCCAGAATATTATAAATTAAATTTGAATTATATCGACTGTTTTTAGGTGATTAATTTTGAAATTTTCTGATATAATTAAATTTTTTTTAGTGTTTCAATTATCAAAAAATTTCGAATTTTCGTGTAAATTGGTGAACGATGCGAGTTTCGGAGATATTTCTTGACCAACAGTACCAAAGTTCATGGCTCCGTTCACGCAAGTTGTGTTATTCTTCAACAGTTCAATGAAACTTGGTACCGTCTCCTTTTCGATTCTTTTTTTTTTTTGTCATTTCAATCTTGTACATCGTTCAACACACATCAAAGAGAAAAGCTGGCGGTAACACGTAAACTATTGATTACACTTTCACGAAACAGTTGTTCTCGTCGGTGGTTCTCCGTAGCCGAACTTTTCTCCGAACGTAAGTGTCTCGGTTAGTCTACTCAGTGTGGTTGGATTCAAGGGAACCATCTTCGAAAATCATGCACAGGTTCCGTTATACTCGAATCGAGGATGTTCGATCTTTCTTGGAAATGTACTTCTCGTTATTCTTATCTAATTTGCAAAGAAAAGGAAATTTCCTCCTCTCTGAGAATCAGTTGTATTCAATTATTCTCATTTGATTGCTCAAATTAAGAAAAAGGTGCTAAATAAACAAAGAAAATTGAAATTCTGATTTTTGGGGATTTTTTTATTCCCTGAAAAATCTTCAATTTTTGGAGATTTTTGATTTCCTGAGAAGTCTTCATGAAATTCTAATTTTTGGAGATTTTTCATTTCCAGAAATCTTCAATTTTTGCGAGATTTTTTATTTTCTGAGAAATCTTCAATTTTCAGGAATTCTTTATTTCCCGAGAAATATTAAATTTTCGGGAATTCTTTATTTCCCGAGAAATCTTAAATTTTCGGGAATTCTTTATTTCCCGAAAAATCTTAATTTTTCGGGACAGATTTGGTTCTTCCATTGTCTTCATGCACCCGATCGATCATTTTCTCTTCCTCGATTCGTGCACAAAAGAACGATCGTCGCTCGACAAACATGCAGGAATCAGCGATACGATAAAGCTGCGCACACCATGCATCATTTTCTCCGCTAATTAAAAGTCAAGTATCCATTATATAGCGGCGTGATTCGATAAAAGCGGCCGAGAAAAAAAAGCTGCGGCAAATATATAGATATATATGTATATATATCGCGAGTAATGGCCGTTTGTGATTTCCGGCTTGCACAATGCGCACCAACGACACAACGCAAGAGAAGCGAGAACATCGGATTTGTCAACAAGAATATTAATCACAGGAGCAGCGTCTAATTGAAATTCGCAGCGATTATAAAAAAGTAGTTACTTAGCGGCAGGCAGGCAACTCTGGAGATGGCCTAAACTCATCAAATGTATAAAAAATGTCATCGATTGCTCAGCGTCGATTAAGATCTGCTATAATGTGCAAATTGGTAAATCTAAGGACGCGCGAACTTTGGGACATTCGGTCCCGTTGATTGAGTATCTTTTTTTTCCTCTTTTTTTCTTTTTTTTTTGGTTGCATTTCTTTTTTTTTTTTGCTTTATTTGCTTTAATGATGCACAGTTATGATTCCGACGATCGATTGATTGACTGGTTCGAGTGAACGCGAGGTAATATTGCGACGTGTGTCTTTGGACTCGAAGGATCGAAACATCGTGTACAGCGGTGCCATGCTGTAGCACAGTGCTTTCCAAACTTTTAATTAGAAAAAATGGGCAATGATTTTTATTTCAGTGGCAATGGTGATTTTAGAACTTTTATCGTATTCTGGAAAAATTAGGGAGAGCCGAAGTGCTATACGAGTCTTTTCATAGAGAATTTTAGAAAAATTGAGGAGAGTTTGATCTTTGATTGGTAAAGTGTTCTATGGATTTTGTGAGTTTTCATAGAGAAAGTAGAATACCCTCTGCTTTTAGAATTTTTACTATACTAAAAAATTTAAATCAAAGCCTTGGCAAACTCTGCGAAATTAAATCTCACGAGTTCTTCAAAATATCACATTTCAAAATTTAATAAAATCCTTTGCTGACTTTGCAAAATTAAATCTCGTCAGTTCTTCAAAATACCACATTCCAAAATTGAAATTCCAAAATTCAATAAAGTCCTTTGCAAACTTTCCAAAATTAAGTCTCATCGGTTCTTCAAAATACCACATTCCAAAGATTGCAATTCCAAATGCAGCGTCAGAGAGAAAATTTGGAAAATCGACAGTTCTCTTTCCCCGGTTTGGAAAACACTGCGGTAAAAGTGTGTGTGTGTGTGTGTGGAGGTCGGAGAAGGGGGTGGGGGTTGGTGTGTAAAACTTCTTCTCGAGTTGCTTTCCACGTGGGTCGTGGGAGTTTCATTCATCAAATCAGACATCACTATATAGCACGAAACCATTGCTCTACTACATAACTGGCAACGTGATAGTGGTTTTATAGATGGTTCTGCAAAAGCGGGCGACTTCTCTCTATCGTACATATATATCGAGATCTACTCATTCATGCAGTGCATTCAGATTCCCTTAGAGACGTAACATAAACATTCATCTCTAATTATTTATCCCTAACGAAGAAAACGATTTCGACTGAAAATAATAAAAAAGAATAAAAAAATAACCACTATGAAACTGTCTTTGTTCAGAAGTATGTACGGTATATACGTCAACGAGTAAAATTGTTGCTCTTCTGACGTTTTCTTTTTCTTCACTTCGTCCGTGTCCGTCACCCGATTTTGCGCGGTAAATTCAAATTCGCCGAAAAGAAAATGTTAAGAAATGAATTGTTAGGCTGTACGGGTGTCGCTACGTTGGTTGTTCTTTATTTCAGCACATAATTCATCTACGGCCGCACTCCGAAATTCTTTTCACCTGCTCGCGAGTAATTCGATCGAAAAGGTGGATAGAAAAAGTGCTTCCGAAGTCGAATTTACTTACAATCGCGATATTGACATTCTTAAAAATCTCCACTGTGTTATTCGAGAAATTAACTGAAGTATATTATTAGCTTATATCTATACAAAACTTCGTTAAAATCGTTACGAACAAATCACCGACAAACGTGATCGAACATTTCAATTCAAAAGTCTCGTGTAAATTACGCCTTTCACTAAGCGCGGACAACAGCGTCCCCGTAGGAATTTTTATTTTTCACAAAAAAAGCACGCGTGCCGTACGATTAATTGCTCGACACGATTCGAGAAGCACCTTTCAGATACACCCTGATTATAATTACAATGCTCTTCGTACCAAAGATAACAACGCGCGTGTTTATCGAATTATTGTACCGCGCGGACAACAGCGTCCCCGTAGGAATTTTTATTTTTCACAAAAAAAGCACGCGTGCCGTACGATTAATCGTTCGACACGATTCGAGAAGCACCTTTCAGATACACCCTAATTATAATTACAATGCTCTTCGTACCAAAGATAACAACGCGCGTGTTTATCGAATTATTGTACCGTGTCGATTGTTTCCATTCTTTTTTTCTTTCTCTCTCTGTTCTC